TAAGCGCAGTAAATAAGATTTTGAACCAAAAGCAAATACACTGAACCTACACAGTACCAATAAGCTGCCAAGAGACTATTTCTGTTTTGGTGGGTGAAGGAGAACCAGGAATAATTTTGATTTTTTCTAGGTCTGAGAGAAATTAGCTAATGTTATTGGCAAACCAAATGGTAATTGATATTAAAGCTACAATACTGAACATAAAACTGGCTTAGGTAAATGGTCATTGTACCTATATTCCAGTGAATTAATTGCTTTCAGAATAAAGGACTCTTGTGGATCACTGAAATTACTTTATAACGAACAAATACATTAAAAATAATTGTCTCCGAGATCGCCCTTAAAATACTTAAGAATTTGCTGCTTCTTGACTAACTTTTCACACTAAACTTATTGGGCCTTTGTTTCCCCCCATTCTTTCTTTGGCATGAAGAAGGCAGTTATTTGCAGTCATTTAGTGTTGTAAGCTTGTGTGGGCTTTTTTGGTAGGTGGGTAAAAACATTGTGAAGTTATGCTTAAACAGTTAGGGCTTTCTGTGAAGAAGGAACTATTCATTTTTAGTAAGCAGTGACACTTTATTTTTAAGAATCTCCTATCCCACATTATGTATGTACATGGGAAGTCTTTTATATATTGATTTTTCTGCTTAACAAAACCAGTTCTACTGTCAAGATGATACTTTGTTTTATCTGTAGCAGAAAAAAATCGTATTGGATAGGTAGGTTCCTACCAAATTCACAGTCCATTTTGGTCAATTTCACGGTCAGATGATTTAAAAAATAGTAAATTTTATTGTTTCAGCTATTTGAATTTGAAATGTCACGGTGTTGTAATTGTAGGTGTACTGACTGAAAAACGTTTGGGGTGGCGTGTTTGCAAGGTTATTGTAGGGGGGGTCACGGTACTGCTACCCTTACTTCTGCACAGCTGCTGGGGACGGCGCTGCCTTCAGAGCTGGGCTCCTGGCCAGCAGCCGCCGCTCTCCAGCTGCCCAGGTCTGAAGACAGCGCCGCCGCCAGCAGCAGCGCAGAAGTAAGGATTGCCTGTTATGGTATTGCCACTCTTGCTTCTGCGCTGCTTCCTGCAGTCAGCAGCCACCACTCTCTGGCCGCCCAGCTCTGAAGGCAGCAGCGTAGAAGTAAGAGTGGCATGGTAAGGTATTGCCTCCCTTACTTCTGCGCTGGTGCTGGCAGGGCGCTGCCTTCAGAGCTGGGCACCCAGCCAACAGCTGCTATACTCCAGCCAGGGCTGGCTCCAGGCACCAGCCGAGCAACCTCGTGCTTGGGGCGCCAGATTCTAAGGGGCGGCATTCCGGCCGCCCTTTTTTTTTTTCTTTTTCTTTTTGGTTTGCCGCTCCGGCCGCCCTGTAGGGGGCAGCGGCGCAGAGGAGGGGAGCGCCCTGCAGCAAACTCAGCAGGGCAGCCTGTGTCCTTCCCTCCCAGCCGACCGGAGCGGCGCAGAGCCCTCCCGGCAGGCGGCGCAGCGGGAGGGGCCGCAGGGCAAGCGCCCCGCTGAAGCCCTGGCCCCCCCTTCTCTCTCTGCCCCCCACTCCCTCCCCCTTCCCCTCCACTAGACCGGGCGCGCACTCCGCTGCACGTCTGCAGCACAGGGAGTCCCCCTGCACCCTGGCTCCAGCCGCCCTGCATGTTGTTGTTTTTTCTTCCTGCTTTGCCGCTCCAGCCCCCCTGCAGTTTTTTTTGTTTTTTGTTTTTTTTGGCTTGGTGCGGCAAAAAAGCCAGAGCCGGCCCTGCACCCAGCTCTGAAGGCAGTGCAGAAGTAAGGGTGGCAATACTGCGACCTCCCCTAAAATAACCTTCTGACCCCCTGCAATTCCCTTTTGGGTCAGGACCCCCAATTTGAGAAATGCTGGTCTCCTCTGTGAAATCTGTATAGTATAGGGTAAAAGCACACCAAAGACCAGATTTCATGGGGGGGGGACACACAAAATTTCAGGTCTGTGATGTGTTTTTCATGGTCGTGATTTTGGTAGGGCCCTATGGATAGGGAAGAGCTCAACAATGCTAAAGTGAAGCTAATCTGCGTACTTGCATTTCTATAGGAAGTTTGGATAATCTTAATAGCCTGATTCTCAATATAGACATGGAGTAACTATTGCCAACTCCAGTTTTTTATTCTTGAGGCTCATTAGTTTGTGTATTTGTTAGTTTGTGTAGTTGTTGCATTAAGACAATAGGTTGAGCTTCCAATGCTGACTGCCAAAGATTATTAGCAATAGCAAATGTTATTGGCTTTTTGTCAGAAAAGATGTTGATGCACAGACACAGAAGCCCAAACTTTCATTTTGTTTCCAGAGCTTCACCGTTAGCACAAGGATGAAATGGCAGTATGGGATGATCCAGTGGGTATTGGAATGCACTGTACATGAGCGTATTGGTTTAATAATTGTGTTGAGAGAAGTCATGTTTTAAAGGTTAAAAAGCCAAAGTACTTGTTCTGGATTCCTCTGAGGCAATCTAACCATATTGACTTTTCATATCCTACCCTGCTTTGTGTTCACAACCTGCCTGACATGAAATTATGTAGTCTCTAAATTCGGCTGGTTTGTGTTCCCACAAAGCCTAAAACATTTTTTTAAATGCCCTTGCTGCATATGTTTCTTGCATATCCAGCCATATTTTAAATGTACATGAGCTTGCCTGTTAAGTCTCCAAGCACCAATTATAACTACATAAATCCTAAAACAGAAGACAGTGCATATAGCTAGAAAAAAAATTCTTATCTTTATATCTTCACTAAGCCCTAGTAAAATCCAGCATGGTTTAATGAAATATTTGTTTGACTTGCTAAACTTGTATAATTTAGATGTAGACAGTATGTCAAGAGCTACAGCACAGCAGTCTGAGAGCTCGCAGAGTGAGAAACGCTTATTACCAAATATAAACAGAGAATTTCACCTGACAGTGTTTTTCAATTACATATTGTATTTCTTAACCTCCTACTAGCCTTTGATTATGGAGCCTCCATGGGCCTCCTGCATTTTGTTTGCTGCAGTGGCCAAATCTCAGTAAGGATTAAAATGTTTCTCTATAGTGTTCCTAGGAAGCTCAAACTCTGCCCTCTTGTAACATTTCCTGGCTGGCATGAAACAAGGCTTTGCTCTTTCCCTTTCGCTTCCCTTTATCCATGAAAGATTAGCACATACCAGTAAAGTAAGACTCAGACAAATGATCTTGATGCTCAGTTTTCACTTTGGGGATGGGTCTAAGACAGAATGACCATCCCATCTATGCCCTGGATATTTAAAGGTGAATGGAAGACAAAGAGGCTATTTCCTTCTTCATTCTATATTTAAATAAATTTTATATACAATAATATATTACAAACTACATTATAAGGATGTGATTAAGGTTGCTAAGTCAAGCTCTCTGAAGTTAAGAAATGCCAGAATTAAGGTTGCCTGTGTAACCTTAATTTGACCTGTGCATTATGTACAGTCTTTAGTTACATGACCATATACTATTTTTTTGTCCACAGGACACCTGCCTCATTCAGTGCACAGGGTGGACTTGCTCTGGGGATGAATCAGAGTTGTGCCATAATGGAGGCGTTGTCTGTAAGATCTCTGCCTCATTTGTTGCAGAAGTTGGAAGGTATTGTTAATGAGGCAGGGGACTTCAGGCAAAGAAAGGATAGTGTTTTGGTTATACAGTTGAATGCTGCCTGAAGAACTGGATTTTAACCCTGTTTCTGCCAAAGTTTTCTTATGTGATGCTAGGCAAGTCTCTTTAAACAGACTTTTCTCAGGTGATCACTAATTGTATGTGCCTCATTTTTTGGGTGTCCAGCTAGATTCCTTGGGGTATGATTTGCAGAAATGCTGAGCACTCACAATGGTGGCTGAAGTCATTGGGATCTGTTCTTGAATACATAAAGTGCAATATAATGCAAAGTACTCTGAAAAATCAGGTCCTGGGTATCTCAAATTTGGCACCCAAAGTTAGTTGAAACTTTTGACGTTAATCTTTCTGTGCCTCAGCTACCAATCTGTAAAATGGGGATAATACCACTCCTTAACCTCAGACGAGTGCTGTGAAGATTAATTAACTAATCTTTATGAAGCACTTAGATAAGTGCCGTAGAATAGTCCATGAGTAAATTTAATAATTCTGTCTTCAAAGCAGGGTTTAAATAGTGTGCAGTAAACAGGGAATGGGGTGACACTTTGAACAATGAGGGTATAATGGCTACTCTGAGTGAGCAGCATCTATCGAGAATACTGAATGAGGGAGGGGTACTGGGGGCGAAAAATAGTACATGTCTCATAATGCATGTGCACATATTCAGCCTCCAGCATTAATGTGTTTTAAGTTCTCTGCTCCAGAGCTTGCTTCCAAGGAGAATGAAGGCTAAACTTTCCTACCCCAAAAGAGAATTGGTTTTATTTTGCCTTATTTTCAGTTGACTCTCTGTGACTGTTTTTCTGGAAGACTTATCTCCTGCTCAATGGCAGGAACCCTTGGGTTGCAAGTTTACTCAGTATGGTAGCATGCAGTTGCCTATAGGAGCCTTGGCTTACACTGTATCCTCCATTACCACTGTCTCTAAGGGTAAAAACAAAACAAAAAAGTAGTTTTACCAGTTTCAGGCTAAACAACTGAGTGAGGAGTGAAAGGCCTGTAACACATCTTCCAAACTTTCTCCCTTTTTCTTTAATCTTTCAATAATACAAGAAGTTATTTGTAACTAAGTACAAAATCTTTAAATGGAAATGTGATTTCCCTCACAAGTTCAGCAACTTTGATTCTGTTTTTGGTGATCATGCTAATTTCTTAAATTTTATCTGAGAAATTCTGTGTAGCGTGTTGAATTCATTATTGGAGGATTTGTATTTCCAGTCTTTGAAGAAAGATGCCTTCATGATCAGCTCCTCTAGTCACAAAAATGTACTTTTTTTGGGGGGGGGAAACAAAAATTTACAAGTAATGCACAGATCAAGTATGCAACATCTGAAATTCATAGTCTTCCTCTTGTCCTACAGGCTTATCCTAGCAGCTAATAGAGATGAATTTTACAACAGACCATCAAAATCAGCAGACTTTTGGGATAGCAGCAATGAGATCCTTAGTGGTATGTAACTTTTTAATGGAATCTTGTCTTGAATCTCTCTTCCCATGTACTTTTGTTTGCAAATCTACAAAAACGTTGTTAGAAATAAAAGAACATTTAAAGGTGATGAGAACTTGTCCTCACGTGTGATGGTTGAAAACCAGTTTATGGGCTTGAAAGAGGCATAGGCCTTCGTTGTATTGCTATCTTGTATGTTTTCTTTAATCTGTACTGTAACTTCTTAAAAACTTGAATGCGTGGTTTGTAAACCTTAACTCTGTAATGAAGTGATTCAGAGCCGAAGTAAACCCATGCAATGGATACTTTGACGACAATTTGTAAATCAGCTGTAACAACTCATAGTCAGATTTTATATAAAGTCCACTGAGTTTTGTTGCATTTAGTTGACTATAAAAAAAAACTTTCTTGAATGTTCTTCACTCTTCTTCATCATATGTTCTCCAAAAGCCACAGTTCAAGCAGTGTAGTGAAAATGCATTATACCGTCTAACATAACTAGTTATTTAGTACCCTGAATAACTCTCTGAAAAATGGAATTGCTGAATAGTAGTCAGTGACTTTAAAATTGTTTAATGGAATAAGGCTCAAGGAAATGAAATTTTAAAAATGTCTGTCTCATTTCTTATCAGTTTGAAATTTTTTGACTAATGACCAAAGTTGTTTTGGTTTATTAGCTTTCTCCCTGGCTGTTGTTGCTAGGCCAGGGGTGGGCAAACTACGGCATGCGGGCTAGATCCGGCCCCTCAGGGCTTTGATGCGGCCCGCGGGATTGCCCCCCATGGCGCCGCGGGCCCCGCGCCGCTTTCAGAAGCCTAACCCTGTGGCCCGCGAGCAGGGGGGGCAGAGGGCTCCATGCGTTGCCCTTGCCTCCAGGCACCACCCCACGCAGCTCCCATTGGCCAGGAATGGGGAACCGCGGCCAATAGGAGCTTCAGGGGAGGTATATGGAGCTATACCTATCTCATAGAGCTGGAAGGGACCCCAAAGGGTCATTGAGTCCAGCCCCCTGCCTTCACTAGCAGGACCAATTTTGCCCCAGATCCCTAAGTGGCCCCCTCAAGGATTGAACTCACAATCCTTTAGCAGGTTGTTTAGCAGGCCAATGCGCAAACCACTGAGCTATTCCCCCTCCCCCAAGTACCCCCCAGGTACCTGGAGGCGTTGCAAGGGCAGAGCACGCAGAGCCCTCCGTCCCCCAGGGGCCACAGCGCTTCTGGAGCGGCGCAGCTTGGGGCCAGGGCAGGCATGCAGGGAGCCTGCTCTGGCCCCGGTGCACGCCGCTGCCACCCCAGAGCCACTTTAGATAAGTGGCGCCAGGCTGGAGCCCGAACCCCGCCTGCATCTCGCATCCCTCCTGCACCCCAAACTCCCTGCCCTGAGTCCCCTCATACACCCTGCACCCCAACCCCCTGCCCTGAGCCCCCTGCCACACCCTGCACTCCCTGCCACACCGCGCACCCCAACCCCCTGCCCTGAGCCCCCTCCTGCAGTCCGCACCCCTCCTGCACCCCAACCCCCTGCCCTGAGCCCCCCCATACACTCTGCACCCCTCCTCTGCCCCAATCCCTTGCCCTGAGCCCCTTCCTGCACACCGCACCCCCTCCCACACCCTGCACTCCCTCCTGCACCCCAACCCCCTGCCCCAGTCCTGCATACAATTTCCCCACCCAGATGTGGCCCCTGGCCCAAAAAGTTTGCCCACCCCTGTGCTAGGCTGTTGTCTAGCTGAAGTTTTTTATAGAGAATCTATCTTTAAATACAGTTTCAATTTGACGACATCTCCATACTCTCCGATATAAAAATGTGAGGCTCAAGTAGACAGAGCCTTGTTTAAATAGAACATTCTGACTCTGCAAAGAATTTTCATTGATGTTATGTGGTGGTGGTGTCGTTGGCAGAGAGGTCTGTGAGGATCAATTACTCCCACTGCACTGCAGCTTCCTCGCTTTCTGAAATTCTGGCTGACATTCCAAAATTCCTGCCAGACACTCTGGATGCTGCCTCCCTTGTTACACGGCGGCCGGGGGGAGGAACAAAATACTTAGATGTTGAAATCCTAACATTAGCTGAATACTAGCCTGTAGCAAAGTGGAATAGATAATAAAATCCATTTTTGATGTCTTACTCTTTTCCTCCACCCCACCCCACCCCACCCCGGGTTTTATTTGAGGCAATTCAGTGCAACGGGCTTATCTGTGCAGATCTGATTAGTACACTGTTTGAATTAATAATGCACTTCTTTCAAATGAAAGTAGCGAGGCAAAAAAGTAAATATATCCAATTCATTCTTGCCTGTTGTCACTTAATATTGATGATCATTCTTGACACTTAAAACATTACTGCTTGTTCTGTACTACTGTACCGTAACTTACAGGCATTGTCCATCATAGCTACAATGGCTGATATTAATTCTTTATTCTTCTTATGATTTGAGTGGAATGGAGTGTAGGTTTGCCAACTTTCTAATCGCACAAAACCAAACACCCCTGCCCCGCCCCCCACTCTCTCCATCTCCCCATCTCTCCGCTCTTCTCCACCCTCACTCACTTTCACTGGGCTGGGACAGGGGGTTGGGATGCGGGAGGGGGTATGGGCTCTGGGTTGGGGGTGCAGGCTCTGGGGTGGGGCTGGGGATGAGGGGTTTGGGGTACAAGACAGGGCTCGGGGTTGGGCCAGAAGGTTAGGGTGCGGGGGAGGAGGTGCGGGGTCCTGCCGGCGTTTACCGCCGCTCTGAGGAAGTGGCTGCCAGGTACCTGTGCCCGCTAGGCACATGGGCAGCCAGGTGCCTTTGTGCCCACAGGCGCCACCACCAACAGCTCCCATTGATCGTGGTTCCCGGCCAATGGGAGCTGTGGAGCCGGTACTCGGGCCGGGGGCAGCACACGGAGTTTCCCAGTCCCTGGCTGCCCCAGCGCCTAAGGGCTGTAGGGACCTGGTGGCCACTTCTGGGAGCAGCGTGGAGCCAGGGCAGGTAGGGAGCCTGCTTTAGCCCTGGGGCCCTGCTGTGCCACCGACCAGACTTTTAACGGTCGAAAACCGATGCCTGGCAACCCTAGTGAAGAGTGGCAGTAATGCCTTGTGTGCAGATCCGACATCAAGAAAACTATTACATGCCAAGGGCATAGCCACAGGTGGGCCATAGCCCACCCAGTTAGCACCCAGGCCCACGCAAATCTGAGCTGGGGTGTAGCAGTCCAGTGTGTCACTCCAGCACCTGAAATTTAGGGCAGAGCTTTGCTGCAATGCTTCAGAAAGCTATGCTCTAGCGGCTCTGCCTTGTCATTTTCTGAGTCACCCCATGTGCCTGCCTATCTGGGCAGAAAAATTACTTTCTGACGGGGAAGCAAAGGGAAGCCACAAGAATGGTCTTGTGACTCTCTCCAGCAGTATATTTCTGGTGCCCAGGGCAGCCAACAGAGAGGTCAATCACTGTGGGGTAGGGGGTGGGCCTAGGGAAGACCCAGCTGGTGGCTCCTACCCTGCACTGGGCTCAGCTGCTAGTTCTGGCTGGGCTGGGGAGGACAGGCTTTCTCTTCCCCTGCATGGCATCCGGGGCCAGGTCAGACACCCCCCCCCAGATTTCTCCCCCAGCTGCAGGAAGCTCTGCAAACTCCATCCCCCTCCTCCCTGGCTTCCTGCACCCATCGCTCCTCAGCTGCAGGGGGAGGGATCCCTGTAAAGGGAGCTGCTCCCCCATCCACCCTACCCCCAAGCATCCAGACCCCCCTCATACCCAGGCCCTCCCACTGAGCCTCATGCCCCCCTGCACTCAGAACCCTCTTCCCCTTACTGAGCCCCATTCCCCCTGCACCTGGACCACCCTGACGGATCCCCACCCCACCGAGCCCCAACCAGCTGCACCTGGATCCCCACCCCATTGAGCTCCACTCCCCCAGCATTTGGACCTCCCCATTGAGCCCACACACACACACACTGAGCCCCAACCACCTTCACCTGGACCCTCCCTGCAGGCATTACCATTGCGTCCAGAACCTCCCAGCAAGCCCCTATGCTTCCAACAGCAGCTAATCCTTCCCTGAGATTTGCATTTGAATTAACAAATATTCTAGCTCTACATAACCCAGTTATATTCCTTTTAACACAGTCGAAATTTTTTAAATCTTGGTTTAGGTTAATTTACTGACTTTTTTCCCTATCGTCACTGTGATTTTATTAAATGGTGAATATTGCACAATTGCAAAATACTGATTTAGTTTTAACTCATTTCATTTTTACTTTCCAAACAAACAAAAAAGCTTGGGACTCTAGGCATCTATCCAGCACTAGCTAAACTCAATTTTTATTAAGGAACTGTGATTTAAGGCTTTTGAAATGAGATGAAGCAGCAAAGTAGTGAATCTGTCTTATTTCTGCTTATGCCACTATTTGCTCTAGGTTTGGATATGGAGGAAGGAAGAGAAGGCGGGACGTGGCTTGGAATCAGTAAGAAAGGCAAGATGGCTGCCTTGACAAACTACTTGCAGCCGAAGATTGATACAAATGCAAAGGGAAGAGGTATGGCTTCACAATGAGGAAATGAAAATATATGAGTGACTATATAATGGAATGTTCATTACAACCTTAACTAAGTGCTGTTTTAACCCCCTTTTCTCATCCAATGAAGTGGTAATAATAGCTATTAACAAGGCTTGTAGAAACCTTTTTTTGTACACCCTGTCCTCCTCCTCTGAAGAGTTTGGAATATGTAACAAGCTCTTGAAACTTCTTGTGGTTGAGCTCTGTGTTTTAGATTGATGCATTCCTAGGACACTATTGTGAGCAGAACATAATATGAAATGGAAAAATGTGCATTTGTCTCTTTTAGGAGACTTTTTCTCATTATATTTTTATAGTTTAAAAAAAAAAAGTCTGCTTGTAAACTCAGGGTCATGAGGTCCCTCAGTGGAAAAATATGACATTAAATAGATCAAATAAATGAGCCACATTAGTTGTATACCAAGCCAGGGCTACAAGGAACATGTAGGGGAAATGAAATAAAAGACTGAGGAGAGTGGTAATATGCGAGAACATCTAATACCGAAGGCTCCTCAAACATAAATCCCGTTGCAGGTTCTTCCTCAGAGTAAAAATAAGTGTCATAATTACTATATTGGTTTAATGTGAGCACTATAGAAAACCCTAATTTCCATATTTTGTCCCTCATCAATAACAGGAATCCTAAGCCTTGTGTTCTGCTTGTTTGACTGAATTTGCCAGATTCGCTATCCTCACTTTCCATATGCAACTCATTCTAACTAACTCTAAATCCTTCCTCTTCTTCTTAGGTGCACTTGTAAGAAACTTCTTGACTACGGATCTGGACAGCTTCTCTTACTTGAAGAAAGTTTCATCAGAAGGACACCTTTACAATGGATTTAATTTAATAGTAGCCGACTTGAGGTAAGTCTGTAAAACTTTACAGATCAAAAGGTGAAGAGGGAGAAACAAGAAAGCAATGAAGTGCATAGAATTATTGACACTAAATTATCACAGTATAGTGACTTGTCACAGGCAAAAGCTATAGCTCTTGTGCTTTTACTAACAGGCATGGGTATTCAAAGTTCTGAATGTTACTCCATTTCATATACTTTCTACAGTTCTCTTTTTATTTTTGTTTCTTCCAGACACCAGAGGGCTGTCTTATTATCTAGTAATTTCTTGTAGTGCGTCTCTCAGCATCTCTTTCTTACAGAAAGGAAATCTTTCCATTGAAATATCTCTAAAGTTCTTCCACCCTTAATTTGTGATACATTTTTTGACTACCAGACTTCTGGACAACTACAAAAATTCTGATTCAGGAGTTGGTTTGCCAATTTTAATGTGAACAAATACTGTCGGTCTCCTGACTTAACAAAGCTAATAAAGACACAGGAATAAAAACCCAGTCAAATACAAAGCATTGTCCTAACAGTACAGACTCCATTATTATAAACAATACACTGACAGCTACCGGAGCGTAACATCAAGATTTGATTAGTGAGCTGCAGTAATTTAGCTGAGAGATCAAGATTAAGATTTTTAGCACTGAAACCAAATAAGAACCCAGAAGGAAATCAGTGTGATGGGGCAATGGAGTGATGGGGAACAGTGTTCAGAACCTGGAAACTTGATCAACGCAGCAAAATATATTTGATGGAGTCTGGCAGTATCAATTAAATGAGATGAGTAGTGAAAAACACAAACTGCAAAAGCCAATGGTTAGACACTAAGATCTTGTCTACATTGCCCCGCAGTTCAGACTACGGGGGTGTGACTATCAGTGCACACCAAAGTGGTGTGCTACAACTCCCCCATGTGGATGCTGCAGGCATGAACTAAAAGGTTGCTAATTTGCATTAATGTAGTCCTGTTGGAAAAGGACTCTATTAATGCAAACTAGGAACCTTTTATTTCACATCTGCAGCATCCACACAGGGGAGTTACAGCACACCACTTTGGTGCACGATGCTAGTCACACCCCCGTAGTCTGAACTGTGGAGCAGTATACACAAGCCCTGAGTATCTGAAGATGTGACTGATGAAAGGCTGTAGAAGCGTTAGCCATTTAAAGGAAGTGCTTTTGGGAATTAAGGGCTAGATAATGGCAAATAAGATTTTAGAACTGTTGGAGAGATTGAATAAAGTTCAAGAGTGAGATGAAAGGATGAAGATAAATGGGGGTGGGGGACGTAACTGGAATTACTTTACAACTGAAAGAAATAGTTGAAAGCTGTTCACATTGGTCACCAGATCAGGTGAACAGGGAGAATTCGAATAAGTGGGGAATGAGGATGGTAATGAGGACTTGAATATCATTTGAATAGTCAGCTACCTGAAGACGTGCATCACAGGAATCAAGAATTGTCAGTGATCAGAGGAGAATCCGAACTGCGACACAATTCATATGTCATCTCAGATGGTTGTTTAGCACTCACAAGAATATGAATTATTTCATAGCTATTATCGGTGTATATTGCTGAGAGAAAGTGGAGTTAATACCCAGACGGAGAACAAGTGTGACTGAGATTTCAGCAGTTCTTAATAGAATTAACAGTATCCCTAGACGATGACAAAATAGACACAATGGGGAAACAATAGAATTAATACTTTATTGGGAGACCGTTAAAATTCTCTGTGTGTTGGCATTTGGTTGTGTTTTTGCTTTTTGGTTTTTTTAATGCAATTAAACAGTCTTTCTCCTTATAGATATCTAGTAAGAAAAGTTGGATCAATTCTGCCCTTTGAGGATAATAAATAATAGTAAAATAGAAACATTTTGTACTGGTGATCAGTACTTTTCTTTTTGAGTGTCATAGAGCATATGTGTTGGTATTGGACCACATTGAAAGTTGAGGATAAAAAGAAGTACCAAATAACTTCCCGTCCACTGAATAAGGCAGGAGTCATACGTGAGAATGTAATTAAAGACTGAATCATAATGTGTACCCACAAGGAGGCTGGATTAAGGTTGTACAAGAATTTTCTAAGGTCAGTGCTTGTCTTTGCAACCTTAATGTTTTATTACCATAGTGGTTTTGGATGTAATTTCGTGTGTGTGTTTAAACCAAAATTTGAAAACAAAAATTACATCTAGTTGGAACCACATTGATCCCCAGCTTGGGATATCTGGGTTTGGACCTTCAGATCCACAGCACAGACTTCTGCTACTTGAGCTAACAGAGTGGCATTGGTAGTCTGTTTATCCTCTGTGTGGACTGGTCACTTGGGGGGAAGGATGTTCTATCTTTGCCAGTGAGTTTCACGGCTATTTGAGGATGCAGAAAAATGTAGAGACAAAACTCCTGGGTTTAATTCCAGGTTCTCTAGGGTAGTGTTCTATAGTGGTTATAGATCCTTATGGACCTGTATCCCTGCCCTATCTGCCCCACCCTGGCTTCTTGCTCCCAATTTCTCAAACCTCCTCTGCATTCTAGTGTGACTGCTTCCTCCTCCTCCATAGTGCCTAGATGCCAGCTGGGGGAACATTGAGAGCACAGGAGAGACTTGCTTCTCAATTCTGGTCCCCAGCACTGCAGTAGTTAATAGCAGGAGGAGTAATTGCAGGAGAAGTCTGCTCAGCCCCAGGATGCAGCATGCTTATTTACTCCAGGGGATGGTACACGCACAGTTCAATTGAGCTGTGAAGAGATGGAACATGTCCAGTGCAGATAAATTCTCTAAAGATTCTATCTGCCAGAAGCTGCTTACCCTCTACTGAATATGTGCAAACTGAGATTTTTTTCAGATTCTTATGACTTGGCCAAATTTGGGCGGAAAGCACATTCCTGACACGAGGATGACCCCTTACCCACAAGTCCCTGTTCCAAATATTGAATCTTTAGAACTTAATGGAAATGATTGTGAGAATTATTTTTAACCTGGGCAAAACATATTTTTCCTGATCTTTCTGAGAAATGGATGAACCGTTATCACTGAAATTTCTCAAACCAGCCTGAGGCAGATAACTGGCATGGAACATTTCAGCCTAAATGGTCAGTTTGGCCAAGTTTTAAGCAACTGAAAACAGGGTCTTATAAGTATTGATCAAGCTTAACCATAGGTGGTGCTATATGTTACGTACAGACAACCTTAACTGACATATAATGTGTACATGTACTTAATATGCCTATCACAGGAGAGAGGATATATAAAAGGTTAAGGTATCTAATAGTACATATCCTCTACTCCATTCAAGTGTGCTCCTTGCTTCTAGAATCACTAGACATCACAGACAATGCACCACAACTGTAATTTTTCCCCAGTAGGGACGGCTAGCCCTCCAGCACTGTATTCCCCAAACTTCCTACCACCTACAGACCAGAATCCTCCTCCCCCAACTATCCTTTCTGCACAAGTTTGGAAAATCACTCTCATTTGGAGAAGAGGGTGCTGGAATTAAGTTCATTATACCTTTCTAGAATCCTGTCAACAAATGTGACACTGTTACAATTATTGTTCCCTCTATTTCACTGACCTCCATTGGTCATAATCCAGTCACCATCACTCACTTCCCCCCCCCCCCCCTGAAATATTTAGATAAAGGATTAGGAATAAAACACTTTCAAGGTCTTTAGGTGAACAAAACCATAGCTTCCTTGCCAGTTTAGGCTATTTATTTTCATTTTAGAAACTGCTGTGATAAGGTGGGGAGGGAAAATGGAACTTTTTTTAGCCAATTGAAATTTAAAAGGAGAAATGTTTTATCAAGGCAGACTCACTCCAGCTGTGAAGATACCAGTAGTCTTTCAGTGCTTGCTGCTCCTGCTTAGGGATAAATGACCTGGTTCTAAGAACTGCAACAGTAGAAAGAGAAAGTGAGCACTTCAGAGATGTGTGAACACCAAACCAATCCCCCACATCGCTGCTCCAGGGAATAGATGAAGGACCAAATAGCCCTTAAACTCAGCTGGAGTGAGAGGAGATGGTGTTTTAAAGGTCTGCTGGTATCTTCAGCTGAACTCTAACAAGCATCGTCAAGCAGTAATTTGAATGGTCTAATTAATAAAAAGAAAACCAAAAACTGGGAGACTCAGTATCTTTATCAGGGAGTCAGTTTTTGACAAGTTTGATGCCCCCCACTCCAACCATTATTTGGACTCTGCTTTGTTGATTGGTTATAAAGAGGGACTTTGTTAACCTGCAAATCAGGGAAACTAAATCCACAGCAAAAGTAGATTGCTGTTTACTAAAGCTGAAACTAGTGAACTGATTTGTTGTGGCTGAAATAATGCATATATTGTTCTCTGAACACACACTAACCGGCCCAACACAGAAACCAAGTTGGACACTTAGTGTGTGCTCCTTCTTCCACCATTGGTGTGCTCTACTCTGCAAAGTTCATTATTCCACACTGGGGCTTCCCCACCCTTTAGTTTTAATTGCTTTGTTTAGCTGTACTGTATTTAGAGTTGCTGACCTCTTTCTTCCTCCACCCTGCCTCACGCCCTGCTCGCTGCCATCTGGCTAGCTTTCAACTAGAATAGCTGGCTTTATTAAATCTGTTGCTAGTTTACCCCAAGAATACTGATATAGGTTATGAAAGACTCTCAAATTACAGACTGTAGTGACAGCCTCCTGAATTGTACTTCCAGACAGAGCTGAGTGAATAATCGACTTTTCATATTTCAAGGGGGCATTGAAGGTGACGTGACCAGTTAACACCTTTCCAATCATTGAGGGGAAAGGGGGAAGAAAGGTGGTGGTGGGGTTAGTGGATTATAGATTGTTGTAATAAACCATTAATCCAGTGTCTGTATTCAGTCCTTGATTTTTAGTGTCTAGCAAAGTTATGAATTTAACCTGCCAGGCTTGTTTTTTGAAGGTGTTGTGCAGGTTTCCTTTAAGGATGAGGACTGAGAGGTCAGACATAGAGTGATCACTTTGATATTTTTTTTCCAATGTGAGTTCATTTGAGAGCACAG